GAGCATGCATGAAAAATGCGCTTTTGTTTACTTAAAGTTCGGTTTTTTACCTGGCAGTTTAGCTTAATAGCGATTTTATTTAGACTCAATAACGGGAATTTTTAAATTAAAAAAATTTTTTCCATGATCTTATATTGTATTCTAATATTTGAATTCAACCTTAATTTCATATCTGTTATTAGTCAAACACAAAATAATTTCTTGACAGTTCAAAATGGTTTCTTGGAAATGATGATTTATAATTTCATTCATCGAATTTTTAAATTTATTTTTTTCTCCTTAACATCACAAATATAATTCTGAAGATTGGAAACTGGTATATAAAATCTTTGAATTATTTGTTTTTATATTACTTTTCTATCTTCAGCTGAACGAATGAGTGTGAAAAAGTAACAAACTTTGACGATTTAAAAACTGTTAATTACTTTTTTGCATCAACTTCTGATACATTCAGTGATGCATTATTTTGAATAATAACAACTTGCGTGATAATGTTTGACCGGTTTCTTTTTTATCTTTCAATATATTTCCGATCCTGCTTTTCTCGGACTTCAAATGACTTTTAAATAATTCTTACTTTTCTCAAAAATCCTTGAAGCCAAAAATTGATAAAAACTTATATCCGTTGAGGTGTAAGAATTGACTGAAAAAAAAACATTTTGTTTTAATGGTTTATATATTATGCTATCCAATTGGAAGTACGGATTCAACGAGTGCTAAGAAATTTCTGAAGAAAACAATAATAATGAAAAGATTTTTCTCTGCTCTCATTTGATTTATAATTAACAAGCTATCAGCTTGGTCGGAATTATTCATTCAAATGCACACTTAAAGATTTATTGATTAAAAAAAAATCTGCTCTCTCCCTCCGCCAGAAATATTGTTTTATCATAAAAAATATGCATAATTTTCATTCAAATTGCTTCTTCCAATAGCACTTTCACTTTTCCATCTAACACTGACAGCCTCAGCATATCTCTCTTCCCACTAATTAATCAATTAATTTACGACTCATATGTTTCCGTAATTTCTTAATCGTATCAAATCATATAAAAAATTTTGCTTCATTTTGTCTTTTTGTAATTTTGATCGAAGTCATCAAAAACTATGAATTTCTTTTTCTTCTGTAAATTAAATTTTATCACTTGAATCTTTAAAGATAAATCAGTCTGCTTCTTTTCTTTTATTGCTCCAACAATGTTTCACATTCTTTAAGCGCAAATGAATGCACCCAAAATTTTTTATTTAATATCAATTACAGTGATGAATATTTTCAGGCATAATTATTTTATATTACACGTGATCTTACGATGAATCGATATTTTGTTCTGTTTTATTTAGTGATATTAGTGACAATACCGCATTTTGTTAAAACTTTAGAAAACGGATTAGCTAGGTTTGTTTATTTTATTGTATAATATTGACTTTAATAAATATGCAATAACTTTTGATAAGATTAGAAGCATTTCTTTTTTTCTTAGGCTAATAAAAATTTTATTGTTTGTCTTAAGTTCACTTTTCCTTTTTTTCTTTCATTTCTTTCTTATTTTGTTTTCCATTTATTTCTATTCATGCATATTTTTCTTCTAGCAATAAAATTGAGTTGAACAAATATACACCTTTTTAGTTTACTTTAGTTCTAATTTCTAGCTTTAAAATTTCCTCTTTGTTAGGACACCACCGATGGGATGGATGTCTTGGACGAAATTTTATTGCCAGATGGATTGCGCACAACATCCTTTCACATGTATCAGTGAAAAACTTTACATGGATATGGCTGATCGTATGGGTAAGCTATCAAGAAAATTATTCAGTCTCAGATTTCTTGCAATATAAAAGTGTTCAAACTTACTTTTCTATAAATTATATCAGACAGAAAAAAGATAGTGAATTTCAAAATAACGAAATCAATTTCAAATTAATCATTAAAATCTCTGTCTAATTTTATTTTTTGACTCTAAGACTGTTTTTTAATTTTTATGATACAAGAAATTATTTCATTATGTGTGATTTCAGTAGCAGATGGTTATCTGCAGGCAGGTTATCAGTACGTTCATGTTGATGATTGCTGGATGGAACGAAAACGGGATCAGAACAGTCGTCTCGTTCCGGATCGGCAACGCTTTCCAAGCGGAATGGCTGCACTTGCTGATTACGTCAGTTTGCTATTTGCATAGTAAATAAATGGGAAGAATAAAAGTGCGGGTTGAAATGAGAATTTTATAAGAGGGATTAAAATTTTACTAAGGAAGAATTTTCTTTTAAAGTATTGGTAAATTTGGAGAAATTGGAGTAAAAAGACTAAATTTTCTGTTTTTTAAATTTGAAATTTGCCAGAATTTAGATGCATCAACGTGGCTTGAAATTTGGTATTTACGAAGATTATGGCACAGCTACGTGTGCTGGTTTTCCGGGCAGTTATCAGCATACAAAAATAGATGCCGACACATTTGCTGAATGGAAGGTTGATTATCTCAAGCTTGATGGCTGTAACATTAATGTCGATTTGATGCCCACCGGTCAGTTAGTTCATCTTTTTATTATTTATTGAAAATATCAGAAATTGAAGGATAACTGAAGGTCAGATATTATAAGTTGTTTTTCATATTCTATAATTGCGCATTTGATATCTAAAAGTTCGAGCAGAATTTATTCAGGAATGTAAGTCGGTATTATCTGATTTTTTTCTATCCCTCTCCCCCAAATGTTTATTCATAAATCTTCATATGCATATACGCATTTCTATTTTTTCGGATGAACTGTTAATATATTAAACTTGAATAATTCTCCAGTTGTTCGTATCAGTTAATTAATTCTTCTTTTATTTAATATAGGTTATGCTGAAATGGGTCGAATGCTAAATTTGACTGGTCGACCTATCGTTTATTCATGCAGTTGGCCTGCTTATCTCATTAATCAACCGGAAAAGGTTATTTAACTGCAAAACCATTCGGTGGCAGTTAGCAATAGAGCAACAAAACGGTTCAAACATCTGCGTAAACAGGAATGAGAATTGATAACAGAAACGAAATATAAACCGGCAATTTAGCCTATATTATACTGCTCATCCTTTCAATTAATTTGAGCAACTCTTTGTCTCTCAGTTTCTTTTTGATCTGTCGATTGTTCTCAGAACGCATTGATGGAAGTGTATTAGCATATCGATAATGTCAGTTCAACCACTGATAGATACTAAAAAAAATTCAATTTAGCAATTTCATTATCGATGGAGAGAAAAAAGTAAAAAGAAAGATATTGAACGAATCATTTTGTGATGGCATTGAAGACAAAACATTTTGTAAAAATAAGCGAATGCAATAATAATCAGATGTAAGAAGTAATAATAGCTTATCTTTGCCGATAGCTCGTAATCGAGTGATGTTTACGAGAGTCACTGACCTTCTTGTTTCTGTTGAAGGTTATGACAAAAGTGTGAACAGTATAGTACAAACAAATGACTCTACAAAGTGTAATCGTATCTCAATATTTTTGATTCTTTTTTACAGATCATTGAGACTTCTCATGGGACAATGTCACAAAAATGTTTAAAGGTTTAGTGATCCTTTTTATTTAGGTTAATTATCAGTTAATTGGGAATCATTGTAATTTGTGGCGTAATTTTGATGATATAAAGCGTTCTTGGGCTTCCGTAAGAACTATCATCGATTATTACGATCATCACCAGGATAAACACATTCCTGCACAGGGTCCTGGAAGATGGCATGATCCTGACATGGTATATTTTCAAACTAGTCTAAAAGCTGTTGTAGTTTAGAAGTTTTATCATTTCAAATTTTTTCGATTTCCTTTTTCAATGCAGAAGATAAAGAATCGATAACAATAAAAATGATATTATTAGTCTAAAAGTTATTGTAATTTCTAAATTTTTAAGAAAATAATATCATTAAGTTTATCCGTTATAAGAAATATCTAGTTTTTTTAGATGAAATTAAAGAATTTTGTGAAATTTCAGATAATTGTAGGAAATACGGAATTAACGGTGGATCAAGCAAAAGTGCAAATGTCCATTTGGTCAATTTGGTCTTCACCGCTAATTATGTCCAATGACTTAAGAATGATTGCACCCGTTTTTCGAGATATTTTATTAAATAAACGAGTTATTGCTATTGATCAAGATCCACTTGGTATTATGGGACGATTAGTTGCTAATGTTAGTGTAATTTATTAACACGCAATTCACGTACGGTTTACATCCAACATTTTTTTTCACTAATTTATCACTCATTCACTTCATTTCACTATTCTTACACTCATAATAGTAAAATTTGAAAAAGCAATAATCTCAATTCCTGCCAGTCGTACTTCCATTCTTCTTTTTTTCTCTTCATTTTTATCTCTTAAAATTATTCCAACGATTAGCTTCAAACAATTTTCTGAAAGTTACTGATGATAAAATCACATTCATATTTAATATTTTTAACAAATTATTAAGGTCAAATTAAATGGAAAAAAACGTTACTGCTTTCTCTTTATATTTAATATTTCTAACAAAAAAAAAAATTATTGAGATCAAATTAATTCAATCAACAATTTCTTTTAGACCACCGATACTGGCATTTATACTAAGCCCGTGCTTCCAGCAGAACCATCAGCTCATCGCTACTCTTATGCTGTAGCCATTTTCAATCGTAATCTCCATCGAAAAATGGTATGTTTCCTCCTTCTTTTTTTTCGTAGTCGCAAATTTTACTTTACTTCAATTTAATGATTTTATTTAATAGAGGGGAAAAATTCATGAATTTTTGCTTTCTTTTTGATCCTTTTACTGGAGTAGCAATAGTACCTGAAAATAATATTATTCCTCATCAATCAGTATTCAACACAGCTAAAATTTAAGAAAAAAAATTAAATTTCACTTCCAAGAAGCATTTATATATTTTTTGAAGTTTCACATTACTTTATCTTTCTTTTACAAACTGTCATTTCATTTCACATTATTATGTTTAATAATACACACTGTCAATATTTGTTTTGTTTTTTGCTGAGATTTGAATATTTATTACAGAATGTGCGCTTTTTGCTATCGAAAATTGGATTAAATAATTCCGATGGCTATTTGGTGCAAGATTTATGGAGCGGTGAGCTTAAAGGCTTACTTAAGCCTAATGATTTTTATTCCACAGATGTAAATCCTACTGGCATTGACTTTTTTAAAGCAACTTTGCCAGATTTATAGGATTAATAATAATTTTCATCATATTCATCTAGGTTAACTAGAGTTTTTTTGTAAATCTTAAAATTTTGAATCTAATTTCAAAAATTGGAATGCTTTCCAGAACTTATAAAAAATTTATAAGTGTGTAAAGAACTTATAAAATAGCATTTAAATAATTTTAAATCATTTACTATGTACAATTTGCTGTTTTTATTATATTTTTAAGAGATTAAAATTTGCTTCAAGAATCATTTTCGCTTCTAATAAAGATCAATCTCGAATACCTTGGCCGAAATGTCTTCAGTCCATTTAATAGAGTGATAGGTAAAAAGCCAGAAAAAGGAAAAAAAATGAGTATTTTCATATCTTTCTCTCTCTTCTTCAGTTTCAAAATTTATTTCATCCAAATTATCGATGCATTTCCGACTTGGATAAAAATATTCGAAAACTTTGTTTTTGTACTGGTCATAGTTATAAATAAACATTGTGTACAATTTTATTATTCATTAATTCAATGGAAATGTACTGATGGAGTTGTCAAAATCGAAAAAATAACGACAGAAAAAAATTGTGGAAAAGATAGCCGCAATTTTTTTATGTGAATTTGTTCTGAATAAATTCTTCACCGCTGATCAATTTACATTAAAAAAGACAATTTTGAAACGATTTACTTATCAAATGGTTCATGTAAAGCGTTAAAGCAATGTAAGCAGCATTTGAAAATATATGAAATTTAGCTAGTTAATAGTATGAAATGTATTCTTGAAGCATGCTTAGAGCTGCAGAAATATCGATTACAGCAAAGATAGTAAGAGTTAATGATATGATAAAAACGGACGATGTTGTCCGATCTAAGCTACTGAAAATGATCAGCGGAAAGGAGAAGAATTGATGATTAAGCTAGGCTGAGCTGCTTTTCTACTGCCAATTAACTAATCATTACTCTTTGAGCTATTCGAAAAATAATGCGCTTCTTCTCCGTTCTATCATTAATCTATTTACCTGTTGCATTTGACCAAGTTTTAATTGTTCAGGTGATCACATTTCTGTTGGCCAAAAATTAAGCAATTAAACTTAGCAAAAATCTTCATTTTTTTTGGTCCAGTCAATGACTTTTCAATTATTATTAATTTATTAGCGCTATCCTTCACTTCCATCAACAAATCATTCATTGAATACGTTAAAGAATGTCACTAATTAATTAAGAACGTTATTAATCGAACAATCAAAATTGTTCGAATTATTAGCTCGGACATCCGTTTCATAATTGGTTGCATGCCAAGCCATTAAATCTTGTCATACGTCAACTTTGGAGGAAGGAATGATGCAAATGTCATGTGGGATGAAGCGATGGCGAAGCCGAGAGTAGGCGGACAGTTAAGCTTTTAAGTATTAGCAGATGTAGTATGAGGTGAAAGAGATAAGTGTGGAAATATTCAGTGAGGCGAAACTGAATTTGATAAATATATCAGATTTCCTGTTGAAGACAAACTCCTAAAAGCACGAAAAGGAGATTGCATCGGAAATGTTTCACACGAAGTTTAAATTCACACATTAATGTTTAACATTCCCTAAATTTCACATTTTGAATTATTTGTCTGTCGACGTTGATATTGTGATATCGTTCCATCGGGCAACTTTGCTTATGTTGTTCCTCATTTTTTTTGTTAATTGTTGTGATATACTTCTCTTTTGTATCAACTAAGTAAACTTAGTGCATTTCAGGCTAATGTACACATTTTGAAGTCGTATTTCAAGAAATGTTATTGGCTCGAATCATCGTTGATCGATGGCTCGAGTCAGTTGTTTTCGGGCAGAACTTGAAGGTTAATCGCATCGAGCTTATCGTTTTCAGATTATATCAATCAAAACTTCGTTAGCCGTATAAAATGCGATAAATGGTGATTATTATGTACAGGTATTTCCATCTTCATTATGTCTTTGTAATTAAGAGATTTGGAATCTTATGATTGTTGTTTTCATTTCTCTTTTTCGTCTAGGTGTGCAACTACGCATTATCATCACCATTTGTGAGTCTTCTGAAGTTTAATTGAATCAGGTTTTTATAAATAAGTTATAGACTTTGTCTAGATACTAGATGGTTGGACAAATATCATTTCGTCATCATCTTCAAACAAGCAGTTTTGTTATTCGTTTTTGTTTTTAAAAACATTTTTATGTCTTATGTATTAAACTAGCATTTTTCTGAATCATTTCATTCTATTTCTCATATTATCATTTCACCACAGTTTTTAGGGATAAATAATGCTTTGGTTCAACAACCAAAAATTGTTAATGGCCGAAATTTTATCACATATCATGCTGAATTTCTAGATAAAGAAGACGCAAATGAAAATATTTTCGTAAAAATCGATGATGTCTTTGACAATCTTCAACACTTATCAGAGATATCATTTATGCTGTAAATATTAAAATGATTGCTGATTGTCGAAGTTAGTATACAATCGTTCAGCTTTCGACTAGTATCACATCACTTTTGTTTATGTAATTCTATTATTTTCTACCGAACACTGCCAACTTTACTATATTTTTTTAATGAAAAATTCTTGTTCACAAATCCTTTAGATCTCATTTTGCATACAACGTTTTAAGTGTAAAATTAGATTCATGCTTAAACGTACCCAGGTATTTTGGATTACTCAGCTCACAGAGAAAGCAATATATCCAAAAATTTGATAATTTGTTTGATCGAAGTTATTACATCTTTGACATTATGATTGACAAGTTCCTATGACTTCATTTCGAGGATGTTTTAGATATAATGAATTTTTCTTCATAATAAGCTGTGTAGAAGTTCCTAAAGTCATATTTAATGGAGATAAAATTGAACTGAAACTGGAATAAAATTATCTTTTTTGTCTTATCTCTTTGATAAGATGGAAAGATGGATTTTTTACAGATGACTATTATGTGTTTAGCAAAATAGTTTTTATGTATATATAATTTGGTTTTAGAGATTCAGATTTTTATTTTTTTTTACATTGTCTAATATTTTGAAGTTTCAAATTGTCTATTTTCCCATGTTTATCATAGTTTTCAACTATATTTGCAAATGGTGGATTCACCAACATGGACTTTGTTCGACCGTGAACTTAGAACTCGTTTCATCTCTAAAATAATACACCATGTTGCTTCACTAATTTCAAGTCAACAGATGTTCCTACTTCCAAGTGCTTAATTCTTGTCGCTCATGACGGTGTTATTATTTTCCAGAATAATTACGTTTTGTTTGTTTCATTTTTATCCCATTCGCTTTGAAATTTCTGTCATTTTTACATATTTTATGTATTTTAGTTTCAGTTTTTTTATCCAATACTTTGTATTCTCATTTTTGAAATAATTCTGATTATTTTTTCGAAGTTGTGGAATATGTCACATGGATAAAAACTTGCTTCAAGTGTGAAAATTAGG